ACTTTTATAGACTTTAGTAAATTGTTTTTGATTAGATTTAGTGGGTTAAAATACAGCCAATGCAAAAGACAAAAACAATTAAAAACAAAACAACAACCCTATTTTAAGTAATAATAAAATCTAAATCACAATAGTCAAAACAGAAACCAACAAAAACAAAACAAAAAGAAAAGAAAAGAGGAAATCTTCTTCAGAGCCAGTTAAAACTGCCACAGCTTTACACCCACAGATGCAGAAGTGTGACTGAAAGAGGAAAGAGGTGCCAGCATTTCTCTTTGAGCACAATAAAGCAGAGGATGTCTGGTTTTTAAACTATAAATATATCATCAGTATCAAAACTATAAAAAAATGTCAAAGTACCACAAAAACAGCTCATGGGGGAATTGACTTATAGGAACATGTGCTTGTACTTCAAAGCAATTTGTCAAACTAAGCAACAAGGAAACTGCTTAAAGTCTAATCACATATTCTAGCTAAACCCAGTAGTTTTTTTTTGGACTGCATTGGCCATCATACTGATCCTAAGGATCAAGCTAGAATACGTCTTGATGCATGCTCAATATCAACCCTTAGTGATCCTCCATCTATCAGGAGTATTGAAACAGTTGAGACGCATTTCTTCTAAACACTGTGTCTCCATGGCTTTTAAACCCCCAAAACATGCTGTGCCAAAAAATGGTCCACCCGAAGGATCGGGTCCCCCGACACAGAGTAATACAGTGCCCGCTGTTAAGTGCCAGAAGGATTGCCATGATTTATACAGTGGGGAAACCAAACAACCTCTGGCGAAGCAGATGGCACAACACAGAAGAGCTAACTCATCAGGCCAGGACTCCATGGTCTATTTACACCTAGAGGCCAGTGGATTCTTTTTCAATGATGAGGATGTACACATCCTGGACAGGGAGGAACGCTAGTTTGAGCGGGGAGTCAAGGAGGCCATTTACAAGAAAAGGGAAAGGCCACCTCTGAATCGAGGAGGAAGCCTTCTTACCTTCAGAGGTGGCCATCTTACAATGCTGTGATTGCAGCATTCCCCAACTCTCTGTGAATGGTACTCATGGCCATTGATCAGTGGTTGTTGATCAATGGTCATGACAATTTGCATACTAATGATTAAGAAACTGACCTCACAGCCCATTGTTCTTTCAGTGGGCTAGTTTCAGTTATTGTGCAAATGTACTGTTTGTAAGATTGGGGAAAGCTGGAGTCAGCTGAGACTGAAGAAGTCACTTGGATGCGTGACGAACCGTTTCTTCCACTTAGAATGCTACGTCCAGATGAACAGAATCAACCTTTTAAGCTAGAATAAGGTTTATAGGACATGGAATGGTTGGCAGAATAATGTAAATTTCCTTAAACGGACTACCTTGTGTGTGAGGTGAGCTCCTCAGCAGATGATCTCTCTGCAGCCTGAGAGCAGTAGAGCAGTATGTCGAGACAAGTGCGTCACATTGAGGGCGAAGCAAGGAGCTGAGGATCCTCTCCTCTTTCAGGGGGCCCACTCTGGCTGCCCACAGTGCTTCACAAAGTGCCTCCAACTGCCCATCGTTTCTACGGGAGCTCCATGGCATCACAGCCAACACAGCGTATATCTCCTCCACCCACTCCTCCACATTCTCTGGCCTTCTCAGTTTCCTTATCAAGTGCTGGATGAATGCATTCTGCAGAGTATGGTCCTCTGTGCATGCCTGGTCAATGGATGAAATTAGGAAAACCAAAATTATTTTTTTTAAGATATGATAATTACACTGATACATTTTTCAAGTACTTTTATTCATACATGGTAACAATATATTTGACTTTACCTGTAAGAAATGTGCTAAAGATTGAGCGAGTCTTTGCTTTTTTTTCTCCAACAGAGTTAACAAACAAGACTCAACAGTAGCAGCAGTTGTTCTTGAACTCTCCACCACCTTTTGCTCAGACTGTTTATCCAAGAAAGCATGTTGCAATTCCTACAGAAAGATTGTGGTCATATAATTACAGAATAGCAAAAAGTTTTTATTGTCAAATGTAAGCTCGACTCTAGTTGGCAGTAAAAAGCAAATTAACCTTGAGAACAGTCTCGGGTATGCCCTCTGACCCCAGTTCCTCCAGAAGTAACAAAAACTCCAGCTCTCTTCTGACATTAGGAGAAACCTAAAGTTAAAGAAAAGTTTTATATAGGTGTTTTTTCTGCTCTCATACTGTTCAGCTGTGATGTTTTAAATGCCTTTTCACAACAAAATATCTCTTTTTTTGCAAGAGCAAAAAAAATATTTTTTAATGTTCAATATTAGTTTTAAAAAATATGTCAATAATAAAATAATAACACAACAGAAATTTAAATTTTTTTCACTTTTATTATATCTGTGACAGTTACCTGTTCTTCTGTCCATTTCTCCAAGACCTGCAGCCAAAACCAAGCCAGTCTATGTGGACTCCCTACTGACTCCCATCTACAAAAAACATTATTGGCACTCAATCATTTAAAGAAGCTCAAATACAAAATGTCTTCATAGCCTTTATTTCTTATTATAATTTACTTCTGACTCACTTTAAGCTGTAAGGATGGCTGACAATAGCCTTGATTATGTCCCGTAAATTTTCGGAAAGTCCTCCCTCAGAGTTAACCAGCTGTGGCACACAGGCCCTTGCCAGCTCCCACTCTCCATGCTGCAGGCACCTCTTGAAGTACTCAAACAGATCCTGAAGCGATGTCTCGGCTTCACAGCCAAAGGGATGCATGGTCACTTTCCCAGTGACGCTTTCTGCTCAGCAGTCACACCTGAAGACCCAACCTCACTACCAGGTAGCCAAGGAGCACCCTTGAGCTTTCTTTACCTGAAACACACAATGATATTTATTTAGGTTTTTCATAAATATTAATAGTAACAGACTATTTGTTACATTAGTTCAAAAACCCACATCGACTGTTCTCTTTTAAAACAGCTGCAAAAGCATTGGGACAACATTTCTGTAGTTCTTCATATTTTGCTCCCGAGGAGGCAGAATTTCTTGTCATTTTTAACGTGGTCTTGAGGAATAGTTCACCACATTTTTGAAGGTTTTCTAGTGGCTTTTTCTTTGGCTGCCTTTTCACTCATTTTCAGTCCAGTCTTTGTACCTGAATATTTTTACAAGAATGTTTCAGTGTTTGTTTGGTTATAAAGACACTTCACAAAAGTGGCCATCAAGAAGCCATTCTTAAGGAAGTGAAACAGAGAGAAAAGGCTGAGGTATGCCAAATTACACATGGACTGGACTGAAAGTGAGTGGCATCAGGTCTGGTGGAGTGATGAAGCCAAATGTGATATTTCTGTATTAAAATGTGTAATACTACAGAGAAGGCCTGGGGGGAGTTACAAAAGTGAGTAGCTACAGCCATCTGTAAAACACGCTGCAGCTGCTAGAAGGCCAGTGGTTAATTCAGTTAATGCAAAGCCATTATTAATGCAGAAAAGTATCATTAGATTTTGAGCCACCATACCATCTGATAAGCAGCAGCTTCATTTTTCAGCATCACAATGATCCCAAACACACTGATAACGCACTCGAATGCAGAAAAAGCACACCAGAAAAAACAGGCCTTGGAAGACCTGCCCTAAGCCCGGAATTTATACATTTTACATACATTTTAAACGGTATGAAAGAAGAAGTTAAAACTGTACCGACCCTTTTACATAGCAGATCATGAATGGCAGAACACAAGCAAAAGATAAAACTAAAGTTTGTTGTGGGTCTCGAAATAAGTCTTAAACATTTATGGGGCGCTTACACATTTATTTTCAATAGTAGTCTGCTTATCACATTATTACCTAAAGTGAATTTATATGTTCTTCACTGACTCAACCCAAAAGCAGAATTTAGACCAAATGTATAAAAAGCTACAAACTGTAATTGAATAAGCTGTACATCTTATTCGCTGTAGAGAGTGAAATGCTTCCCGTCCAAAGTGAAAACTAAAACTTCGCTTTACAAAACGGTTTTCTTCTTTGACAGTTATCCCACTAGTTAGCATTAGCTTTTGTTAGAAATCAATGTGATTGGATGTAGCTTAAAAATGTCGGATAACTTCCGTAACAGTTGGCAGGGCCGTATCGTTGCACTCACATTAATTATTGAGAAATGAATTCAGAAAAGTTACTTACTCATTTCTTTGAGCCGTTTTTTGTTCAAACT